AAAAAGAACTCACATTCACTGTTGGTAGCAGGGAATATTAGTACAGCTTTTTGTTTTTTTTTTGGTTTTTTTTAAAAAAGATGACCGGTAAGGGGATCTTAACCCTTGGCTTGATGTTGTCAGCACCAGGCTCACCCATTGAGCAACCAGCCATCCCTATATAGGATCCGAACCCGTGGCCTTGGTGTTATCAGCACCGCACTCTCCCGAGTGAGCCACAGGCTGGCCCTTAGTACAGCTTTTTGAAGGCTGGCAATCTGGCAGTATTCATCAAAATTTTTAATTATACGCTTGGATTTTTAGGAATTTATTTCATCGAATTATCTCACAGATCAAGATATATGTACAAGAGCATTTAAGGCAGACTTTTCTGTTTTCTTTCTTTTTTTTTTTTTTTTTTTGATGGCTGGCTGGTATGGGGATCCAAACTCTTGACTTTGGTGTTAGCAGCAGCAGATTATTTCTAATAATGAAAAATTGAAAAGAATATAAATTTTTTTTAGCAGAAGTGTGGTTGACTAAATTAAGGTTCATCATTTGATGAAATAGTATTTAGCTATTCAAAGGAAACGATATATCTTTGTGTACTGACCTGGAAATATACACGTGCTATGTTAAGTAAAAAGTACAAGTTATATTACTTTGAATAGTGTGATCTCATTTTTAAAATATATATGTATATGCATTAAATAGAATTTAAGAAGCACAAAAAATCTGAAAAAAAATACACAATGCCATTAAGAGTCATTCTCTTTGGATGTTGGAATAGCAGAAGGTACTTTCTCTTTTTACAGCTTATATTGTTATTGTCTGAATTTTTTAGTATGATGAAAGTATTAATTTATGATTTTTAAAAGCTTTCATAAAATACAGTTTAAAAAGCCTTTTTCTTATTTTAAAGTGGTACACTGAACACATGAGGGTATTTTTTTAAAGTTCTTGGTAAAATAGAATTGAGAGATAACATTGTTACCGGGGGGCACTCAGCTCCTGGCTGATGCTCCCCAAAATTTCTTAATGTGCACAAGTCCAGTTACTTGCCCCCTATCAAAAGCAAATCACTCAAAAGTCAAATTTTGGTGAAAATGGAA